AAAAAAAAAAAAAAAGAATGCAAAGCATTTTATTTTGAGAAAGATTTGGTATGTTGAAACAGATTTGTACTGAGATCATTTGTTACTTTTTAATTTTTTTAAACGTTTATTTATTTTGAGAGAGAGAGAGAACATAGCGGGAGGGGCAGAGAGAAAGGGAGAGAATCCCAAGTAGGCTCCACACTGTCAGCTCAGAGTCCCATAGGGGCTCAGTCCCGTGAATCGTGAGATCACGACCTGAGCCAAAACCAAGACTTGGACACTTAACTGACTCACCCACCCAGGTGCCCCTGTACTGAGACCATTTAGATCTTAGAATTGAATTTCAGGTTGTAATATTTTTCTGATATTATACATTTTCATGAAAATGTCATATTGGTATTCAGTATACATGTGTTTTATGAGTCTGAATAGGGTTTATCAGAACTCAAGACAATTCTCTATTCACCCTCTGCTGTAGCACAGGTTACCCCTGTATATAGGTGTTTGTTTATATTCTGTGATTAGTTCTTTGTTGCTGGCTGTATTTATGTAACATAAGCCTGTGCTGTTATATTTGGAAATAAAAGTTCTTCTGATTTGATTGTTAGCTGCTGAGGAACTTGATATGGAAAATGAATTTTTATTACCACCTGTTTTTGGAGAAGAATATGAGGAACAGCCTAGACCTCGATCTAAAAAAAAGGTATAAATTAATAGTATTCTTGCATTCAGCCACTATCTCTTTGTAGTGATAACCTCTTTAGTTATAGAGCAAGGGTACAGTGAGTGACCCACAGTTGTGCTGAGAATATGGGAAGACTTTTTTCCCTTAGATGTAAAAAGACTTCAAGAGTTAATGTGAAAGTAATAATTTTCCAAGTAATAAAAATGTCTCATATTTGTAACTTCATAGAAGAGCAAGTATTTTTGCCATTTAATTTTTCTTTTTAATTTTATCCTGACAAAAGGTTGACATAGTTGCTCAAAAAGTAAACTCCATTCTTTGCCAAGAATTGAGACTATTTTCTAGGGATCTGTTTTTTCCACTGTTATTTCTGATGAGACTAATCTATGAGGTTAAGTTACAGTGTGTAATATCTGGTCTTTTTTACGCAAGCTAGTACATAGAAGGACATGCTGGACAGTTTAATTGTTTAGGCAGACCAAATCTTAATGTTGTTAACAGATGTGATTTAAAAAAATACTTTATCAACAACTTTACTTATTTCTGATTTTCAACATAAAGCAAGATCAAAAGAAACAAAAAGGATGACTTGCACAAATTTTCCCACAAAGAAAGAAAAAAACTGAAAAAGGAGTGAGTACCTGCAGTAGAATGAAGTTGGACTCCTATTTGACACCACACACAAAAATTAACTCAAAATGGGTTATAGACCTAAATGTAAGAACTAAAATATAAAACTCTTAAAAGAAAACAGGCCTAAATCGTCACTGCCTTGGGTTAGGCATAGTTCTTTGACAGGATACCGAAAGTACAAGGAACAAAAGGAAAAAATAGGTGAATTAGGTATACTACATCAAAATTTAAAACTTTTATATAGTAAATAATGCCATCATGGAAGTCAAAGGAGCTGAGTGAAATTGAAATTGAAAAGTTCAATTTCTCTCTTATCTTAAGATTTAGAACCCTTTTCAGATTATTTATAAATTATGTCTTAATTTTCTTACCAGTGACTCTCACAGCAGGAGTTATTATGATTTTGATATACAAAGTGGATTATGTAGAAATATGGCATTTCTGGAGATATATTTCAAGTAATGTTATAGGTAGCTATTCTCAGATTTCAGAATACCAGTCAATTCTAAGCATATAAATAGATGTTATTTCTCTTTTAATTTTCATTTGTTGAGGGATGGCTTACATAAAGTCGTGAAATAATGTAGGTATTTTTTTAAAAAAAAGATTTTACAATGGTATTTTACTATTAGGGAGCCAAGAGAAAGGCTGTATCAGGATACCAGTCTCATGATGATAGTTCTGACAATTCAGAATGCAGCTTTCCTTTCAAATATACGTATGGTGTAAACGCATGGAAACACTGGGTCAAAACTAGGCAACTTGATGAAGATCTTCTTGTATTAGATGAGCTAAAATCTCGTAAGTGTTCTGATTTTGTTTCCTCTACACCCTATTTCAAATCAAGATTTTTGTTATTAACTACCTTTACTTAAAAAAACATAAATGTAGCTTAAAATATTTTAAGTACATTTAAATGTAGCTTTCATTTTACTTTTAAATTCTAATATAGTCTAAATCAATTTCAGAAAGTTTCTTAATCTTAAAAAAGAGAAAGTTTCTTAATCTTAAGAATAAATAATAATAATTACTAATGTTTTACTTCTTTTTAGCTAAATCAGTAAAGTTGAAAGAGGATCTGCTCTCTCACACCACGGCTGAGCTTAACTATGGGTTAGCTCATTTTGTGAATGAGATCCGACGGCCAAATGGAGAGAGTTATGCACCTGACAGCATCTATTATCTTTGCCTTGGAATACAGGAGGTTAGTAATTTGATGGCTATTTTTGGATATAATGTTAATAAGAAAGGTTGTTGTGGTAGGGGTGCCAGGTGGCTCAGTTGGTTAAGCATCCGAATTCAGCTCAGGTCATGTTCTTGCAGTTCATGGGTTTGAGTCCCGTGTTGGGCTTTGTGCTGACAGCTCAGAACCTGGAGCCTGCTTTGAATTCTGTGTCTCCCTCTCTGTGCCTCTCCCCCTGCTTGCACTCTGTCTCTCTTTCTCTCTCAAAAATAAATAAACCTTAAAAGAAAAATAAAAAAGGTCGTTGTGGTAGTTTTGGAAGAGAAAAATGTTACGTTTCAAGAATATTAAGGGTGGCTTTATGGAACATAATGATTTCTTGGCTTGCCAAGAAAGAAAAAAGAATTAATCTATTTGAATATATAATACTAGGATATTCTAAAGGATTTTCTTAGTTACTTTGTATATAGGTGTTTCATAATGAGATCTGTTGCTCAAAATCCTCAAATTCTTGAAAACTGTCGTACCAAAACCGAAAAGAATTCATGTTTAGGGGCACCTGGGTGGCTCAGTTGGTTAAGCGTTGAACTTCAGCTCAGGTCATGATCTCACGGTTTGTGGGTTCGATCCCCACATCAGGCTCTGTGCTGACGGCTCGGAGCTTGGGGCCTGCTTCAGATTCTGTCTCCCTCTATCTCTGCCCCTCCCCCACTCCTCTTCTCTCGCGAGCGTGCGCGCGCGCTCTCTCTCTCTCTCTCTCTCAAAAATAAACATTAAAATTTAAAAAAAAAATAGAAAAATGGTGTTAGGGACAAGTCACTTGAAACTCCTGCATCTATCTTTTGTTACAGTTAGCAAAGCTGTATATTTGTTGCCATATATATGATAATCAGGATGGCTTCATTTCTTCCTTAAAATTGCAAATAAATGAATTAACATCCTGAGGTGTGATCCTATATATGTATATATAGATCCATGCTGGTATACATGTAAACAGAAAAATGTGTTCCTTTGCAGATAGTGGATCTGTTTCAATTGTACACTCCTGATGTTTCTAATTTGTTATATAGGTAAATTACTCTTTATTTTTTTGGAATCATCTTATAAAAGAAGATCATTCTTTAGGGGTTTAAATAAGCCACATATCTGTGAACCTTGATTGAGTCTACTTTCCGTAATAGACATAAATACCAACTTTATGTGTTGGCTTGTAATTCTGAACAAATTGTTTAGGTTTGAGCCCAGAGGTCAGAAAGTATCTTAGCTTAACATCCTATGTGTTTTTTAGCTGTGATAAATGATAGAAGGAGCTCTTTTTACGTAGAGTTTTGTTTATAGCCCGAGAATTTAATGTTATGTTGCCAACTGATGTAGTCACTGAAATTATTCAGAAAACTAGAACTGTCTTAATTTGTATTTTTTTTTTTCAACGTTTATTTATTTTTGGGATAGAGAGAGACAGAGCATGAACGGGGGAGGGGCAGAGAGAGAGGGAGACACAGAATCGGAAACAGGCTCCAGGCTCTGAGCCATCAGCCCAGAGCCTGACGCGGGGCTCGAACTCATGGACCGCGAGATCGTGACCTGGCTGAAGTCGGACGCTCAACCGACTGCGCCACCCAGGCGCCCCTTAATTTGTATTTTAAGTTGTGTTCTCTTCAGGGTAGAAATTTGCCCAAGATTACATAAGTGGTAGTGGGAAGGTAGCACATGGCTGTAAATTATTGTATGTTCAAGGGCCGTCATATATTTTGCAGTAGCGACCTAAAAAATACATAGTAGGTTTTACTTTTCCTTATTCTTCTTTGATAGATTTATACGTACCTTAGCCTCATATTTAGATGGTGACAGTAGGTCATCCACCCTTCCAGATCTCAAAATCCCTGAAAACTAGAGATTTTACTCTTTAGTTTTTCAGAAACACTCATTTGGTAGTAAAACCTGAGTTGAAGAGTTGTGAAGTTTTTGTCTATTTAGTGTACTTTCTGTTTGATCATCTACAGAATATTAACTACGTAATTCACTATAGAATAGTTAATGTTTCTAAAGGAATAAAGGGTACTTTCCTAGATCACTTTAGGACTATTATGTAAATATGTACATGCCCTGAATTTCCTCTGTAAAATCCAAAAAAGTTATGAATTCCAAAACATATCTGGCCTCAGTGGTTCTGGTTCAAGGTTTATAGACCTGTGTGTGTTCCCCCACCCCCCATTTTCATCATACCTAGGAGTAAAAAAGAGTAGGAATAGCAGGCAAAACCATCTCAACTGTCTGGTTTCAAAATAAGTTACCTGTTACATAATAAAGACTCTTCTTCAGAGCAAATAGGATTTGGGTTTTACTCTTTGTGTCTTACACCATGCAGGCCCTATTGTAGGCACTCATTAACCTGGATAATTGTCAACAGCTAGTACACAATAGACCTGTATTGTCCAGTTTTTCTGCTGCTTTTTATTGTGTGCATGTATTTAAGATGGTGGAACAATCTTTTTTTAAAAAGAACATTTATAGCATCATCTTGGAAGTAGTTCAGTTGTTCAGATCAATCATTTGTAAAAGTGTAGAAGAGGATATTAGGGTTCTCCCAAGTTAACTCAGCAGGAAGGAAAGAGATTGAGTTCTAGGCTCTTATTTGTGTTGTTTTAATGCAGCTCTACTTTTTGGTATGTTTTGGGGTTCTGTATAAAATTTCATTTAAAAATGGCTTCTAGAAATTCACCTTAAAAAACTAGTACCTGAATAATAAAATTTTAAATCACAGTGTAATAAAAGACAACACAATGAGCAGTCTCTGTCTTACCCATCTCTGTTCCACTTAGTTCACCTCCCTGAAGTCAAATACTCTCTGTTGGCTCTTTCCTTTCCTCCGACATTACTTTGCATATAGAAATGTAATGGATTTTTGTATATTCATCTTATATTCTCTATGTACCAATTCATTATTAGTTTTGTTAGGTGGTGTTAAAGACAGTTTTGCCTCTTCCTTTCCAATCTGCATGTCTTCTTTTTCTTGTCTTATTACATTGGTTAGGGATGTCAGGCCTCCTTCCCCCTCCCAACATTGAAAGCAAATGATGAGAGCAGAAACCCTCACCTTGTTTCTAATTCTTGAGGAAAGATGCTTCACCATTAAGTATGATGTTGCCTATAGGTTTTTTGTAGTTTCTTGTTTGTTACCAGGCCAAGGAAGAGAACTTCTATCCCTAATTGGCTGAGAATTTTTCTTAACCTTTTATTTTGTTACTGAGGGTTTTTATCATAATCGGTTACTGAATTTTGTCAACTGCTTTTTCTGCATCTATGGAGACAATCATATGGTTTTTCTCTCTTATTCTCTTAAGAGAATTAATTTTCAGATATTAAATCAACCTTGAATTTCTGAGAGATACTGCATTTGATAATGATATATTAACTTTTTTATATACTGCTGATTAAACTTGCTAATTTACTGTTAATGACTTTGCAGAGGTTCATGGAGGATACTAGTCCATAGTTTTCTAGAGATCTTTCCCTGGCTTTGGTGATACCACTGGCCTCATAAAATAAATTGGGAGGTGTTCCTTTCTCCTACTTTTTTTTTTTTTTTT